TTCTCCTTCTCTGCTTTCTCCTTCTCTGCTTTCTCCTTCTCTGCTTTCTCCTCCTCTGCTTTCTGCTCCTCTGCCTTCTTCTTCTCTGCCTTCTCCTTCTCTGCCTTCTCCTTCTCTGCCTTCTCCTTCTCGATCTCTGCAGCGCGCGCCTTCTGCTCTTCTTCATTGCCCTCGTTGCTCTCGATCTCCATGGCCTCCTCTCCCTTTGCAACCTTTGCTCTCTTTGCTTCATCGTTTTGATCTTGATCACACTTCTTCTTTCTCCCACGCCCTCTTCCTCGCCCTCTACCTCGACCCTTTGCCCTTGCTTCTGTCTTGGCCTCGTGGGCCTCCGCATCCTCAAGGCTCTGTGCTAATTCCTTGTCAGGATCTTCACTGGCTTCCTTGGCAATTTGACGAAGAGCTGCTTGGGCCTCGAGCGCGATGCGAGACGTAGGGGTTGGATTCAATCACGGGCTTTGGACCTACTGGTCAATAGACTGGCTGATGAAGGTGTATAATATAAATTAAATATGCATGCATGAATGATCTAGGGCAACCGGTCTTCGGTATTGAACCATCATATCAACTGCGCGCAGGAGCCTGCATGTCGAGGGATACATTGTACAGTGCTTTTGCACATGAGAGAGTGCACTGAAATATTTGGTCCCTTCTACGAATATCACAAGTCGACACACAGGGGGGGGGCCTTCACCATTTCAGCTTGGGCTTCAGCGCTGGAGCTTCCAGGGTCCTCCAAGAACTTCAACTGCATTTCAGCTTGGTCTTGTAGGGATTGAGGAATCTCGAGCTGTGGAGTCAATGGTTTCCGGTCCTGCATCAGGAAGTTGCAGCAATAATGATATGACATAGACCACAAATCAAGAGATCTAGCGTGCCAGCGCATCATAACACGATATCACATGATCAGAATGTTTTGCATTCCTGGATCAACTGAAATTTATAAATTGATGAAACTGAATTAGTATGTGGTCTCGAGATATCTACCCGCTAACCACCTCAATTAATGAACATAGGACATGATCCCCTCAAAAGATCTCAAACGGATTGCAGTCCTTAAACACTCCTTTCGTAGTTTTAGCTTCATCATCCGACTCAATAATTTCTTCAACTTCCGCAGGAAGTTCAGGGTGCGCAGTGTCCAGTTTTTGAGAAGGGTCTAGTGGTGCATTCGGTGGCACCTGGGACTCATTGAGTAAGTCAGCTGGGCTGGCAACACTGGCGCCTGCCTCCGCAGAAGGTGGCTGCAGCACCATGGCCGTGCTCTTCGCTTCTGCAGGCAACTCCGGATCTCGGCGGTTCCCTTTTCGAGGAGACAGAATTGTCTCATCACCACTGTCCAGCACAAAGGTTGTAGGAGGGTGACATTCAATTGGCTCAACACATTCATCCTGGGTTGGGTCTTCTTCCTCTGGATTTTCTTCACCAAAATCTGAATCGTCCACATCCATGGCGGATTCATTCACCAAAGCCTTCGGGGATGGAGAAGTCAGTTGAAGCTTTGAAACAGGAGACGGCATCATTTGAGTCTCGACGTTGTCAATGGCCACGGCTCTCTTAGCAGCCTCATGGGAAAACGCGCATGCACACATGGCATATTCGTTGCTTATATTCAATCCATTTTTGACATCAGGAATGAACGTTTGAAATCGACACCGGTCGACTATTGTATTAGCATTATAATATCATGTATGAAATCGATTAATCTATTTTGCTTGTGAACACATTTGTACTTGGAGTCGTACGAGTTCAATGATTCAGAAGCTCATAGCCCTAGGACTTCACCAATCCCAAAAATCCTGGCCTCCTCTTGCTTGAGCCGTCCTGCTCCACGACCCCGCGACGGTGTTTTCCCTCCGGAAGGTGAAAGCATCCCATGTTCCTGCAGCAATGAGTGAAGCATTGGCGTGAGTCTATCGGGGACAGGAAGGATGGCTTGTAACCCCCAACGAAACAAGACCTTAGCGGTTTGATTGGTGTTTACAATGCTGGCCTCGATTGACAAGCTTGCAGGGACATTGATCAGGATTTGCCAGACTAGCTAGTGCGCTGGGCTTCAATTCACATGATCTCACTGGCATTGCTGTAATTACTGGGATTTTTGTATCGATATTCTTGTTGGTTGATCTGACAATTAATTAATCTGTAGCGCATTGAAGTATCATGAATGGTGGTCGAGTCCTCCAACTTGGTATAGATCACTTCCTTGATTTGCGCCATTCGGGTATGCCCCCTCCTGCAAACCAGATTGGAAATGAAAACGGTCCTTTGTATCATGTCAGCTTAACCCAACCATTGTATCACAATCAGGATCCAACAACCATTGTAACTGGTGCATGTGTTAAATGTTCTTCGATTCTAATAGCGTATATGCTAGCTTTGTGGACCAGACGCCCATCCTGCTTGAGCGTGTTCGTTGGAAGCGCGCCATGCAATATGACATGAAGCCTCTAATGATCCCAGACTCAGTGTGTGCCCATGCCTGCAAGCTAGGAAACGCAGTGCAAACCAGGCACAGGCTCCAACCACGAACACCATTACTAGTAAGTAGAAACTGTCACAATTACTAGACTTGATTTCCACCGCATGGCCTCATGTAGTGCAACCTCCTTGAATGGATTCAGTTTGAAGCGTAGGGAGCACCAAGAAAGGGCGTCCTGATCAGCTCGAGTGTAGTCCGCAAAACTCTTTGCATGGCATGGAACCATTCATGATCATCCACACACACATGCCAGGCCAATTCTAAATTTCAACGCTGCATGCGCAGTTCATGTGGGGGGCATCATGCTGACATTGTGACATCAATCACATACGATATATGAGAGTTATAAAAGCATGAAGAAACCTTGAGTTCCAGATGGTGTGGTAGGTCATGCGCGAAGCTTGCCAAGTACTGCAAAACGAACGTGAAGTTCAAGTCGTCCTGCACCTGGCCCGGGTCCGGGTTGGGGTCATACCAACAAACTCTGACAGATCAAATCACAGGCCCAGGCCTGATTTACAAAATTGCAAACACTCAAACATACTCAAACCAAACAAATAGACGTAGCATGTGCCGATGACTGACCAAGATATGCTAATTAGATTTCACCTGGCCTCACGCGAGCTGACATGGTTCTTGTTGACGATGAGAAATTGCCACTTGGGCACCTGAATCAAGAGGGATTATTCCGTGTATGAAAAAAACACAGCATGACTGGTCACAAAGCCAACTTCTTTGATCAAATTTGCAATTGTAAACATCGATCTAATGCATGGCTTTGCAATGTTCTCAACTAATTTACATGTCATACCAGAAAGAATATGCTATATGTTTTTGTTTTTTTCATAGTACGTGTGCAACATTAAAAAGATCGTGATCAATTCATGCCAGAGGTATGAGATCTTGAAAGCTAGATCAAGCTGGGGCCAAAGCCTGTTTGATATCTTTCGCGCTCAGCCCTGCCCTCTGCCGCAGCAACTTTCTTCTGCGTGCCAAGAAATCATTATCTTCCAGGATGTCCACCAGAAACGCCTGCGTGTACATGTGCACGATTTTTTTTTGGTGGATATGTGTGCATGTGCTTCCAGCTTGTTCTTTTTGTGCACCAAACATGAACACGACTTTGGTGGTGCCCACCTTGACCAGCTCTGTGCGTGCAGTGGAAGCATCACTGCCGCCCATGGTGACAGCAGTCAAAGCTAAATTGGTCAAGATCTAAGCTTGTGTTCAATGCCGGTGATCTCAAAGACAATAATATTATTATATTGGATGGCCACATGCTTATTCCAGATCAGGTGAGTATTCACTTGCAGTTGATGACATGTTTTTCTACAACTGTGATAGGTCCTTGCACAGTCCCAGCCAAAAAAAACTCCTGGCCGGATAGCAGGTGGATTCATCAGTGATATCGACATGCGAAAAAAAGCAACTCGAACATAAGCAATGTATCATATGCACATGCACATGCGCATATGCCTTGGAATGCAGCAGGGTGCGCACCTATATCCACCGTGTCCTCCCAACAAGATTGTTCCAACTGACCTTCGAGCTGAGCTTCGTTTGCACTGTGGGGAAGAAGTACATGCGCATGCAAGTTTATTTCCAATGAAATACAGCTTAAGCCCTGCACGCATCCCAAAGGCTTTCTTCATGATAATCTCTCAGATTCGTGGTCCGCATGGCAGGGCTGCACCGCACTGCTGAGAACGTTTCACACCTACCTTTGCCAAAGTGAAAAGTATGCCGGTGTCTTGGATTTGCATGGGGCAGTGGCATGAGACACATGGCATGAACAGGTTCCTCATACCATTCTTGAATAAAGTTGAGCCCAGATTGGCTCCTGCAAGACAGGCCTCAGGTATCGAAAAGGCGTTTCACCAGGATTAATAGGTCTCATGTGAAAGACCTTTGTTAAAATGGTCTTCGAAGCCTAGGGAAATTATATATATATATATATTCATCATATATGTACCTGCGCGGTATGGCCCGGTTTTGCTTCCACCTAGTGCCCCAAAAAACTTCTGGTGTTCTTTCATTTTTTCTACCTTGCTTGCTGGTGGACGTTTGAAACAACTTATACCAAACTTCTGACTGACATATCTGAATATCATCTTGTCATCTCTCGTAGTATTCCCAAAAGGACATCATTCACCGAGGCAGCTTGCTTGGTGAGACGGAGCCCTTCACCGTGAGGGCGGAGACAGCGCAGGTGGAGGTGTGGGAAGTGCGAAAGGGGCCGGTCCCGGTCCGAACACTCCAAGCAAATGTGGGGAAGACTGGAGACACATCGAATATAGACTCTGATGTGGTGGACCAGTGTGAAACATCGAACAAAATCTGTTCGGTGCTGGATGGCTAGATTCTTAGATGCATCAGAATTCCAGAAGCTGTTGCTATTGCAGCTTCCAGTGTCCACCATACATGCCCTTTCTAGACCAGAAATCCCAGCTCATGCCGGAGCTGGATAGAGAGAGAGAGAGAGAGATAGACCCGGAATAGACCCCCCGCCCTCCGGCTTCTCCGCAGGTCCTCTACATCGGGGGGGGAGGCCAAACAGCGGATGCCGCGAGTGGTCGCACCTGGGATGAGCAAGGCTTTCAGGTCGAAGGGAAGACGAAGCAACATGGCCCAAACGGTATGCCGTTGGCCGTTTGGGTGGGGTTGGAAAGATCGACCTGGTGAGAGACCGGTCCGAAGGATGTCGAGAGAAAATGCCCAACTTCCCAGACCCTCCCAGGTGTGTTAGACTGGTCCGAACTTCGATACGCACCACCCCAAGAAAGCCCAGCGAGTCCACATCCTGGATGGCCAGCCTTTTACGGGTTTCTTGATTCATAGAGGGGAGGTATCCGTATATAGGGCTGCCACCAAATCGACCCCTCTCTATCTTTCCAAACAGGACCTCCACCCATCTCCACCCGCTGCTGAGTTTGATAGAGATGAATTCCACCACCCCGATGTGGCCGGGACGGCCGGGCCTCGGGCGTAATTACGATCGACTTCTCCGGACCGAGGTTGACATGCTGAAGGAGTACATCGTTCGTGTCAGGGAACCTCAGATGAAAGGGTTGAAACGGTGCGAACCCCACGTGCGTCGAAGAGGATGTGGGATCCAGGAGGCTTCCTGGAATCTGAAGAATCCAGATGGCGAGGTGCTTGCCCATCCGATGGCGAGGAAATCACGTCCAATTATAGCCAAATGAGTCAGTTTAGTGAGAGCCCAGAGACGTGCAATCAAAGTCAAGTTATCAACAATTTTTCTGCCGGCCATACATTTCTTGGACCTTGGATGTTTTTCCTAAAATTTTCCCACATGGCTCTTAACGGCATGTGGACTCATATGGATGACAAGTTCAGATCCCGCTGCTGCGCGTGAACCGCGCAGTCCACGATGTTCCGCTTGAGCAACTTGCGCGTGAACCGCGCCCCCCACCGGAAGGGGAGCCAGGGGGGGAAGGGGGGGGGGGGGGGGGGGGGGGGGGCGGAACCACCCCAATGTAGGCGTATATGGCATACATGGAACATCTGGGATATGTTTGTTGTGTGTGTGTGCTAACTATTTTTAAGCTGGGTATTATCAGTATATTTGTTCTAGAGAACTGTCCACAGTACATTGATGCAAATCGGTTCTTTCTTCCCTGAAACACACTCAATTTCACTAAACGAACCATGAATTCCTCCCAGGTCCACCTCGGCCCAGACACTCAGGCGGTGCCTGGACGCGGTGCCTGGACCGGCACGACCGCGCCGGGACCGCCACGGCCACGACCGCGCCGATCGGGGATCGTCGGTCCTGCAGATCCGAGTGGCGCCCAGCTTCCCGAGCCTGAAGCTGCTGGGATCTGCATGTGTTTGGGAAAAAGGATCGAGGGGATGAGAGAGGGGGTGAGAGAGGTGAGAGAATGAGAGAAGTGAGGTGGATGAGATCGTGTTGTTCTCACAATTTGATAATCCCTAAAAGGAAAGTGTTTCAACATGTTCCAAGCATAAACTTGGAGAAGGAACGACACTTGTAACTTGTTCGTAGGTGCTCGCAAAACTGAACGGGTGGCTTTGGGTGTCAAGGACTAGCAGACTAGCAGCTTGAGAGTAGCTTACGGGTCAGGGACAGTTATGCGAATCACCCTGGTCGATTGCCACATTACATAGTTGTTTCATGTTTTTTTCAATTCTGTACACTCTCGGAATCTCTCTCTCTCTCTCTCTCTTTGTCTCCTTCTCTCATTGATACTGCCAAGGCTGCCTGGAAATTTAAAAGTTATAGATCGTCATGTTTCACGGTGTTTGATTCATGACCTTTCAAGTACCCTTGACCATCGCTTGGTCAGGTTTTTGTACTTGAAGTTGAACAGTTTGCCAGATAGTTATCTGAGATCATCTGGGTATGTATCTTGTAGAGAGTTGGCAGTCGACTTCCCAACCATCCACTCGCTCCACTCGGGGCCTTTGGGCTGCACCATCGGCATCCGGCTTGGGCAGCGTCGCATCCGGCGACGACGAGGTCGCTCTTCGGCACGGGATGCAAAGACAAGTCGCTGCTGGCCAAGGCGATGACGCGGGTTCAGCGGTGCAGGGTCCAAGCCGAAACCGGTGTATGTGTTTGGCATCCAATATCCTCCAAGAAGAATCGGTACATTCGGTACATGCCATATAATATGGGAAAGACATCTTAATATTTGTTTGTTTTGTTTTGCGGAGTTGTTCTCTTTGTTTGCGTTCATTCGTGTTGATTTGTGGCATTTGGAGGTGCCAGAGAGCTGCGGAGGGTGGGTTGATCATGCTTTGGATTTCCGGCGCAGGATGCTGACCTGTGCAGATGGGGCTTCTTGTTACGAGGTCAGTCAGAAATATGTGCCCCTTTGTTTTGCAACTTGCGTCGCTTGCCTTCGTTGCTTTGCTGGAATTCTCCACACGCACACCAAAGCTTCATATGGTCGATGACACCAATCCATCGATTGGCCGTCCCCTGAAATCAGGAGCAATTCATGTATAGCAAAGGTCCCAAATCTTCGGAGTGAAATCTTCCCATTTTGTGCCAAGTTCGACATAAACCTCCAAGGAGACTCTTGCCGGTTGAAGCGCACGAGCGCAGTAAGCGCCAGAGAAGAAAGCCATCGAAAACACGACGTGCCGAGCTGCAACGCAGGTCTCCCATGCCCTGCCAGATGAGAAGCAAAACCAGACGAGGTGCAGCGACAGTGTCTTTAAAGGTCGGTCTCCGACACTATACGTTGATTTCAGTATACGTCGTATATCTCAATATATACGTTGATTTTGTCGATGTTTTTTGATTTTTTTCCCAGGTTTGACTTGAATTCTTTGGCATTGAAGTGTTCCAAACGGCCCAAAAGGCTAGAAACTCCAATTGTAATTGAACTTTCAAGGGTTCAGGTCCGTTGATTTTCCTTTGCTTTTTCCAGTCGTGGTAGGGAAAGGGTTTTTGGTTA